TCGGGTTCATTGGGGACATAGAAAAGATGTATCGCCAGGTGCTCATATATCCAGATGACCGCTCGTATCAACGCATCTTATGGAGAGATGATGAAAGTAAGCAAATCCAGGAATACAATTTAAGGACAGTGACGTATGGAACAGCCTGCGCGGCTTTCCTGGCTACCAGAACACTGCGTCAAGTAGCGATTGACAATGCTGAACTGAATCCCGATGTTTCAAACGCTATCGAAACCTGTTTTTACGTAGATGATTTCATATCATGCGCAAGTAGTGTAGAGGGAGCTACAAACCTAAAAAAGACTTGTGTAAAATTCTTGACAGTGCTGGATTTCACTTGCGGAAATGGTCGTCGAATTCACCACAGTTCATTGATAGCATTCCCACACAAGACAGAGACCGTAATCGATGATACCCAAACTGTGGAAACCTTGGGGTTGTTGTGGAATACAGCCAAGGATTGTTTTAAATTTAGTGTGACGCTGGGGGCCATGCCACATGTCGTTACAAAACATACAGTTTTGTCTGATATATGCAAAATCTTCGATCCGATCGGTTGGTTGGCACCAGTTGTCGTTAGCATGAAAATTTGTATGCAAAGGCTGTGGCTGAGTGGTGTTGACTGGGATCAACCATTGCTTGAAGATCTATTAACCCAATGGCTGGTGTTACGTGATAGTATGTGCCAGATAACCAACTTGCAGATTCCAAGATGGTTACAATTGTCAGACGGCAACCACGTCGAGCTTCACGGATTCGCTGACTCATCAGAGTTGGCATATTCAGCTGCAATCTATTTGTGGGTGCGACGTCCAGATGGAATAATATATACATATCTTATTGCTGCAAAGACTAGAGTAGCCCCCGTTAAGCAGGTCACATTACAACGTTTGAAGTTGTGCGCAGCACAGCTTATGGTGAAACTGATGGTGAAGCTGCAGCATATATTCAACATTGAGAATGATAGGATGTTTGGTTGGTCGGATTCCACGGTAGTGTTGGCCTGGATTGCGGATCATCCGAGACGCTGGAAATCATTTGTCGCGAACAGAACATCATACATCAACAATATTATACCCGCTACACAATGGCGACACATTCGTTCAGAGCATAATCCTGCAGATCTAGCTCTCAACAACAACAAGTTGTGGTGGCATGGGCCAGACATTTTGAAGGATTGTAATGAATCAACAGAAATCAGAACTTCGAGGCATCAAACGACGTCGACATGGAAGAGCAAAGGAATATTGTTCACATCACTACAGTTCCCGAAGCCGACTACATCGAACGATTTTCGGACTATAACCGATTGCTTAGGATCACAACTTGGATTCTGAGGTTCACAAAAAATTGCAAAAGGGCTAAGTCCGAAAGGATAACCGGGCTGCTTTCAGTAACCGAGCTCAGGCAGGCCACAACGTGTTAGTCAAAAATGTCCAAGTGCAGTTTTTCGCGGCTGAAATTCGAGCCTTATCGGCTGAAAAACAGCTTTCAGCAAATCACAAGTTGGCATCACTTACGCCATTTGTTGGCACGTATGGCCTATTACGAGTTGGTGGTCGAATTGACAACGGTGACATTAGTTATGAACAAAAGCACCCATTAATCTTACACAAGGACAGTTACTTAACTGAGCTCATTGTGAGGGAATATCATATACGATATTTGCACGCTGGAAGCCGTTAACTTCAATATTTATTAGGATTGAAATATTGGATACCCGGCATAACTCATCTAGTCAAACACTGTGTATACAAATGCGTTCGGTGCATGCGATTTCGTGGCAAGCCCTTCCAACAACAAATGGGTGATCTTCCCCGCCATCGACTTGAAACTGTCTCCGCCTTTCTCAACACCGGCGTGGCTTTTGCCGGCCCTATACAAGTGCGGTCATGGAAAGGTCGTGGAAGTAAGCGCTATAAATCTTGGATTGCATTATTTGTGTGCTTAGTCACAAAGGCTATTCACTTGGAATTGGTTACAGAACTTTTCACAGCGGCCTTTATTGCTTCTCTCCGAAGATTCGTGACGAGACGGGGCAGACCATGCCCTATTTATTCTGACAATGGAACCAATTTTGTTGGATGCAATCAACAGCTACGCGAAGTAATTCAATTTCTGAACAGATCAGCAACACAAGAGAAAATCACGAAAGAATTGGCAGACCAAACCATCCAATGGCATTTCTAACCACCCTCTGGCCCGCATTTTGGTGGAATGTGGGAGGCCGGAGTCAAATCAACGAAGTTCCACTTGAATCGAGTATTGGCCGCCGCCTCCGCAACGTATGAAGAAATGACCACAATATTGTGTCAAATTGAAGGTTGCTTGAACTCAAGACCAATATGTTTAAAATTCGAAGGTGATGAGGACCCATTAACCCCTGCCCATTTTCTAATTTTCTGGCCAATGTCATCTATTCCCGATGAGCCCCATACGATAACAAGGGTAAATTATTTGAAACGTTGGCAGTATTTACAATACCTAGTTCAAAAATTCTGGAATAGATGGTCAATAGAATATATCGGTCAATTACAATGGTCACAAAAACTACAAAATTTGCAGTGCAACGACATCGTAATAATAAAGGATGATCAACTTCCACCAGCACTATGGTCCATCGGACGAGTCGTTGATACCCATCCAGGCAAGGACGGGCTGGTACGAGTAGTCTCTGTTAAGACAGCTAAGGGAATATATAAACGCCCCATCGTCAAGTTATGCCCATTATTTTTAGATGTTTGAAAGCGTAAGCTTTCAAAGGGGCCCGAGATGTTTACACTTTGAGTTCCATTTCTTAACTTATGTATTGAATACGTAAAATTACAACAATGTAATAATAATAATATCCCAACGGTTTTTACCCTCCATTCCCGCCCATCCGCACGAGGGGCGCAGTCCGCATGACGTACGGAACCAATTTTTAAATTTTTGTGCCGAGTCACGATAGGCAGGAGTTTGTTAAGTGTCGAGATCTAAAACTGTTCAGCTACAGAACTAAATTCATCAGCTGATTTTATGTATTTATGTCAATAATTCATTTATTGAGAGAGGAGAGTATCGCTTTCTTAATGCTGAAAAGCGGATCTGATATATCAAACGTGCTGGAATGAGAGTTACAATCCTGGGATAAGCAACGTAGTGGGTCGTGCAATTCAAAATTGGTTTTACAAGCTTTCAGAAATATGGGACAAAAGTGTCTTGATACGCGTGAGGGAACATTAAAGCTTACATCAGCCAGAAGAGACGGACTTGAAATTGAGCCTGTCAGTAATTTAACCATAAAAATTATACCAAGCATTTCCCTGCGACTGGCAAGTGTAGGAAGGTTAATAAGTTTTAAGCGACTCGTATAAGGTGGAAGACTATATTGAGAATCCCATCGGAAATTTCTTAAAGCAAAAAGTAGGAATTGTTTTTGAATTGATTCTATCTTGTCTGAGTAAATTTGATACCTTGGATTCCAAACCACCGAGCCGTATTCCAGAATCGGCCTAACTAATGTTCTAAACAGGATTTTAGTGATATAAGGGTCGCTAAATTCTTTTGACCATCGTTTCACAAATGCAAGTACACCTTTAGCCTTGTTGACTGTCACATTAATGTGAAGATTAAAATTAAGCTTAGGATCCATTGTGATACCAAGGTCCACAAAATTGTATACCTGTTCCAGGTTATGGTTACCTATTATATAAGAAACTGGCAGAACAGCTCTTCGCGAGAAGCACATTACTTTACATTTACCACCAGTAAGCCATGCTGTTTAAGTCTGATTGTAGCAAAGACCTTTCTTTAATTGAAACGTACGATTTATAAAGTTTAACATCATCTGCATACATTAAAATTTTGGAGAATTTTATATCTGTAGAAATATCGTTTATAAAAAGCAAGAACAGAATCGGGCCTAGGTGGCTACCCTGAGGGACTCCTGAAGTAACATCAATGACGTCAGAGATAGTATTTTTAAACAATACCCTTTGTGATCTATCATAGAGGTATGAAGAGATCCAACGTAGAAAATTAGGTGGAAGACCAAGAAGATCAAGTTTATAGATGAGCAACGAGTGGCACACTTTGTCAAATGCTTTACTGAAATCAGTATATATAACATCAACAGTTTTGCTCTCACTAAATGCTTTTGAGATATAGGATGTTAATTCAAGTAAATTTGTAGAAGTTGATTTGCCCTTGCAAAATCCATGTTGACTGTATGAAATGCTTGAAGTGATAGAATGCGTCAACCGATTTGTTATAATTGCTTCAAATAATTTAGGAATTGCAGAAAGCTTAGCTATGCCCCGGTAGTTCTCCACTGAAGACCTGCTACCGCTTTTATGTAAGGGGGTTATGAACGATTCCTTCCATACAGTTGGAAAAACGCCCTCTTTAAGAGACAAATTAAATAAGGCTGTTAACGGCTCATAGAGATAATCAGCACAATTTCTAAGAAAACAAGTGGTGATCTGGTCAGGACCATAACTAAAAGACTGCTTTAAGGACTTCAGGTAAACTAAAACATCATCGGGAGATATTATAGGGTTATGTATTGAGTTAATTGGACTTAGTTTAAAAGGATAGTCAAAGTATGCTTGGGAGTTAGTGGAATAATTGGATTTAAAAAACTGAGCGAACATGTTAGAAATTGTTTGATTATCACCAGAGACGGTATTTTGATACTTCATGGCGGAAGGAAACCCACGTACATTTCGCTTGGAGTTTAAGAAATCTTAAATGATTTGGGGTTATATATTATACGTCGTTTGATTTTACACAAGTAATATTTATAACACTTTTTGTTTAATTCAAAGATCTTGTGACGCAAAAGTGAGTATTTTACATAGTATGAGTGTAAGCCGGTTTTTTTGTGTAATCTAAAATAACGTGACTTTCTGTTTTTCAAGTTTCTCAGTTCTTTAGTGAACCATAACTGTGTTTGTTCTTCAGGAACGCACATGCGTTTAGGCACATACTTTTCAAATAATCTATGTACAGTACAATTAAAATGTGCAACGCTTTGCTCAACTTTTTCTTTGTATATAGGCCACGACAATTTAGACAATTCTTTATTCAGTTTTTTAAAGTTGGCTTTCGAAAAATCAAAGCGAATATTTGGTTCGTATGTTTGGACATCGCAATTTTGACCATCGTTTATAATTTCGTAAGATATCTCAATAGCAGGGTGGTAGACATCTTCGGGCAAAACTAGTGGGTCACATTTATTTACAGCCGACTTAGATGCATCATCCACATAAACAAGATCTAATACTTTCCCAAACTTATTGCGAAGTACATTAACTTGATTCAGGCAGAGTTCAGCCATCTCCTCTAAAAATACGTTGTTGCACGCGCTAGACGAGAAAGGCACAATATCATTGTCAATGATGTTCCATGATACATTTGGTAAATTAAAGTCACCCAACACAATCAATGAATCAGAGGGATTAATCATTGAATTAATTGATTTCAGTAAAGATACATGTTGTGAATACACTGATAAGTCAGATCGGGGAGGAATATAGCATAGAGCTAAGTAAGTAAACCCCCTTCCAACCTGAACACGAATGCATTTGAATTCTGCAGATTCAATGTGTGGAAGACTAACTTCTTCAGATGGTATTGAAGAGTCTACGGCAAAGAGTACGCCACCGCCGACTCTGTCCTCCCGATCTTTTCTGTAGATATGATAATTATTTGAAAGAATCTCTGAATTAAAAGTGTGAGGTTTGAGCCAAGTTTCAGTCAAAGAAATTATATTATAATTGCATTCAAGGCCATTAAGATATAAATTCGTTAATTTAGTATTTATGCCTCTTACGTTTTGATAATAAATACTTAAAGCAGATTTAGTAATCAGTTTTTTGGTTCTGTATTCTGACGGGGAATATTTGCTAAATTATTATTTTTCTAGGCCTATACTTAAATTCACGAACGAAAGCTCCGGAGGGCCAAAAAGAACTACTAAGCAACATGTCAAAATTTTCTAAATATACGTCTATTTTAAATGAAGAAATATTTCTTTCATATTTAAAATTAAATTTTCTGATACTTAAGTTGACAGTTTTAACTTTGGACGAGATGTAAAACTTTATATCGTCCTCGGAAGTATCCCTCGAAAATCTAGATACAAATATAGACTTCTTTGGGGGAACCACAACCAGTCTCCTAGTATTAGACTCGATTACCGGCGGACGGGGTTGAGTAACTGAGTTACTAATTGAGGGTAGAGTAAGCGTTGGAAGATTAGATGGCGGTGCCACAACTTCAACGGGGGAAGGGGAAGATACTGCAGGGTCGTTATTATTAGAAGCAGACTTTGATATATGTTCTTTTAAAGGAA